GTAAGTGAAGTGCGTCAAGGCTCTGTCCTCGGAGTTCTGCAGTTCATAGTATATATAAATGATTTAGAATCAGGTTTGAGCAGCAATATTTGCAAATTTGCCGACGATACAAAACTTGGGAGGGAAATAAACACGGAAAAAGACTCACTCTCAATTCAAGCCGATCTAAATAGGGTTTTGAAATGATCAAAAGATTGGCAGAAGCAGTTTAATGCTGAAAAAGTAAGGTTTTGAGGATAGGTAATGATGATAGAGTTACAAGATACGAGCTAGATAGTGTTGAGATTGACACCTTGGATTCCAAAAGGGATCTGGGAGTTATGACTAGTAAGAATTTAAAACAAAAAATTCAATGCATAAATGTTCGTAATATGGCAAATAGGACACCGGGAATTATTTACGATGCATTAGTAACAAGACACCTGGTGAACAAATCCACAAGGGCCGTGACCAGGATTCGAACCTGCGCGCGAGAGCATCCCAGACGCAGCCTTAATCGACTGAGCCATGACATGGAAAAGGAGTTGAAACCGTTGGCCCTTGTGGATTTGTTTATTTGATACATCACACAATTGTGATTTCTGTGTGTAATGAAGTATGGGCGAAGAGGGAGAACGGCCTATTGACATAGCTCGAGTGCATGGGAAGAGTTGTGTAGAACCCTGGTTTGTGCCTCGGAGAGGCTGCAGGATCCAGTAAGTTCAGGAGAACTTCGGTTTCAACTCTTTTTCCATGTCGTAGCTCAGTCGATTAAGGCAGCGTCTGGGATGTTCTGGACGCAGGTTCGAATCCTCGTCACGGCCCTTGTGGATTTGTTCATTTGATGCATCACGCAATTGGGATTTCTGTGTGTAAAGACACCTGGTGTTGTTCTTCAGCTATATCTGGTTAGGCCCCATTTAGATTATGCAGTTTAGTTTTGGTTGCCATACTATAGAATGGATATAAATTCACTGGAACGTGTCCGAGAATAGGATGACAAAGTTAATCCCACAAATTAGAAACCTATTATATGAAAGATTAACAATGCTTAAATTGCATTCACTGGAAAGAAGAATTAGGTGTGACATGATAGAGGTTTACAAGTGGATGAATGGCTATAATAAAGGGGATATTAATAGGGCATAAAAAGTATCAACACAAGACGGAACACGAAACAGATACTAACTGAAGAAGGTAATGTCAGAAGGTAAGAAGGCAGAAGACAATGAAGGTAACTGCAGAAGATCTATTTTACCCATACGAGGCAGCTCCTATTTATATCCTCCCAATCTCATTCATATATATGTACACTGAATGAGTATGTTGACTGGGTATATACAGCAATATGTTACAGTGAGGTGTGGGGGTGCAGGTTTTTGAGCGTTAATGACACATACGCGGGATTAGTAGTGAGGGAGGAATAAATGAAAATGTCTAAATGATGTTATAGCTTTGTTTTTTAAGATTATATTTTAACACATATTTGCATGTCGTTGGAGACTTCAACACGGGGTTCAGTAGTGTTCCTATGTGCGTCTCTAAGTCTTTTTAACGCTGACTCAAGTGAGATATATGTTAGTTCATGTTCTGTGTTGCTCCCCTTGTTTCATTCAAATGGGAGATAATGGATTTCATTCATTCCAATGCTCAATAAATGATCTTTAGCCGGGCACTATAAATATAAGGCTCCAGATAAGTAAGGTGAGCAAATAGAACATTTTGAATATTGATGGAGTGACATGATTGAAGTTTGTAAATGGATAAATGGAAATGAAAGGGGGGGGGGGTATAAATTATATTGGGAATAGGCCTACTGCAGTTGATCTTTTAGTGGCAGTAGATTTTTGGTTAACATAGACTGGAAGTAAATAGGAGATCCTGTAAAAGCCCTTTGAAATTTCATTTTCTTATGTTCAATATGCGATCTTAACTATAAAATGAACGTTGAAAATAGGGATACAATATGAAAATGGGTTTGAATACGCTATTACTTAAAATGGGCCTATTGTGGAAAGATTATGGATGATGTCATTGTGTATTAGGCTCGACGGAAGGCGACCTTTTAATTCCCTTGACATAAATATTGAAAATGGGAATAATTATACCATAACAGCAAACGGACTTATACAGGGAAGATGAAGACTGGCTAGCTAATGACGTTATTGATAATTAGTGTTGTCTGTGCAGGGTCACTGAGGTGACGAAATTTTGGGATGACTGGAGGTAGCTGTTTAATCCCCCTTGAGCGAAATGACAAGGGCTAGAAGGGAGCCCTTTAATTCTACACTTTTTGGAAATTGTATATGATTGAAGAGAGCAGTTGATAAATGATGAGAATAAATGAAAACACCCCCTGGGCCAACGACCGCGCGTTGGAGAAAAAACAAAGTGCACAGTCATTGGCATAGTTTACATTATAACAAGCTAAACTGGTTTTAGAAGCTTATAGATCTTAGATCATATGTTTTACAGGGAACACAAGTAGTTGGAGTCTCACTGGAATGGTTCAATAAGCAACACGTATGGCACCTTGCCTAGTAGCCAAAAAGGATTTGACTGAATATTAGTCTGAAACTTGACAGTGTTACATAAAAGAAAACACTAAAACATCTGCAATTCAGTCATTGCGTCGGACATACACACACACAGTGCATGCCTAAATAAACAAATGAGTCATGGTGGGTCCTGTGGGATTTATACACCGCTGAGTGGATATGCCCGACCCTGTTGATCACTAGTCATGCCTTGTCGTATATCCTCTTACTATTGTCCTACACTCCCCAGCAGGTGTAGACACGCCTCAAAGTGTGCGGCTTAGTGTGTGCTGGTCGTGTTGGGGTACTCCCTTCCCTGGTTCTATTCACACACACACAGCTGGCTCAGTCACACCTTCCTGACATGACATGTGGACGTTAATCACACGCGTTTTTGTCAGTAGTACAAATTCTTCCTTCCTGAGATACGGAGACCTTTTGTGGGTCAGACCAACTCTCCGCCAGCCACATCCACCTGGCTTCAAGACTGCGTTGCCACGTCGCCCTGGGAGGTATATGGGAGGTGGTTGTCCGCCCTTACTCTCCTACTGCCTCTTCTCCTCTCTTGTCACCATTCACTGGCCTCTTCCCGGCCCTTTGCAAGTAAAATTTCAGTAGCAAAAGCGACACTCAGGAACGCGTTACCTTATGCCACGCTCTCGTGTGGAGTAACAGCCAATCACGAGCCTCCACCTTCGGCTACACACCGTCTCGATGACATCATCCTTGCAGTACCTGTGACAACTGCCGTCTTCGCCTTCTCGACTGTTCTATTTAAAAATCAGAACCAAAAACACTTATAACATATATTCATATAAGGTATAAAAATATTCGTCTTCTCTCAAATTATTTAATCGGTTTCCCAAATAAATGTATAGATAACGTACGAGCCCGAAGGTGTTCATATTGGAATAACACTCACCTAGGTAAAGACGGTTCTTACGATGGACTGGCAATCACAAGAAGGATCACTGTGATGGTTACGGCTTTCTCTTCCTCATGCGGTCGTCTCTGCAACATCCCCGCTCCCACTTGTGGCATGCTTTGTCCACTGCTGCTCAGGAAGTGTCATGCTTTGTCCACTGCTACTCAGGAAGTGTCATGCTTTGTCCACTGCTACTCAGGAAGTGTCATGCTTTGTCCACTGCTACTCAGGAAGTCCCTCTTCCCTCTTGCCGCCTTCCTCTTCCTGCAAGTGTGGCTCGTTGGCTATAGTGTCCCTCAGTTCACATTGGCAACACCTCCCCCCGTGTTGTTCCTACCATGTCCCCGTGGAGGGTCTCGCTTGGGAAATTTTACCAGACCCTGGCCCAGGTGGTGAAAGCTTTTACCCTCCCAACTGTTTTGAAAAGCTTTTTCCCTTGATTTTTTTCTGTCACTCACACTCCATTGCTCTGTTCACTGATAGGTCTAAGTCTGCCGACGGCGTCTTCTGTTCTCATACTGGGACCTTGAGTGCCTTTATATACTCCAAAGACACAGTCTCTGCTACCCTCTCTTCCCGGCTCGGCGCCTTCTTTTAACTTTGTCAATTTTTGGTGTGTTTGTTGCCCCGTTACTACTCAGTCAAGAAGGGAGGGAAGGGGGCACCGTCTACAACCTGAACATGACGGGAGGGAAGGGGCACTGTCCACATCCTGGACAAGACAGGAGGGACGGGGGGTTACCGTGCACATTCTGGACGAGACGGGAGGGACGGGGTCACCGTCCACAACCTGGACAAGACGGATTTAACACAGTAGCATTATATTCATTACCCCAAGCAAGGCAGAGAGACATTCAATCCACCGCCACAGGCTAGATATGGAAAGTGAGGATGCAAGCTACCATCCTGGGCAGGAGTCGGAGGAGCCCTGTCCATCACTTCAAGACAAAGACAGGTGTAGTCATTCCTCTCAAGAACTACATACATAGAACGATTATAGGCGTGCTGACGTGCTGAGCAAAAGGTGTCGACTCAAGTTATTTACATCTAAGAGGAAATAAATATATATATATATATATATATATATATATATATATATATATATATATATATATATATATATATATATATATATATATATATATATATATATATATATATATATATATATATGTTTATATATATATATATATATATATATATATATATATATATATATATATATATATATATATATTCACGTCGGTATGAAATAAGAGTGTGTGTGAGTGTGTCTTGATTCAATAGAATATACATTACAACAGGAGCATAAATATCGAGCTCCAAGGTTGTGACCCACACGTATGGAAACAATGTTTATCATATACACAGAATACTAACTCTGTTACTATGTTAGTCATTAATTTCTTAAGACTGTAGAAATATATAAATAATGAGCTGCAGATCCATGCAGTGCCACACTGCTCTATAACTGTCTCAACTAAATATCACTGCATGATTGATCATTTTTGGATAAATGTGCATACTTTTAAATTAACTACCTTCTTTAATATCTTCAGGGTATGAGCTTCACAAACACTTCACCGATTGTCGTCCCATCACGTAGCAAAAAGGTATGTCGTTCCACCACGTGCCACAAATATATGTTGTCCCACTTCGTGGCACTAAGGAATATCGTCCCACTACGAACCACAAAGGTATGTCGTCCCACCACATGGCGCAAAGGAATATCGTTCCACCAAGTGGTACAAACGTATGGCGTCCCACCACGTGGTACAAAGGCATGCTGTCCCACCACGTGGCACAAAGGTACTCCTCTTGCACCACACTGACAGGTGGTGCAAAAGGAGGTGCACCAGCTGTCCAGTAGAGCAGGTACCACATCCTCTATGAGGTTAGGGTGTAAAGTGAGCGGAGCTTATGTTGTGATGTGGGAGTTGAACTGAGTGTGTGTGTGTGCTCAAACCCCGCCCCCTAGGCCATAGGAGATGTCCAAAAGATATGATAGAGGAAATCACCATCTGTCTATGAGGGCGTGGACTATTGTGTAAGAGATTAAAGTGGGCGGGGCTTGTGTTTGTGTATGTGTGTGAGTGTGTGTGTGTGTGTGTGTGTGTGTGTGTGTGTGTGTGTGTGTGTGTGTGTGTGTGTGTGTGTGTGTGTGTGTGTGTGTGTGTGTGTGTGTGTGTGTGTGTGTTTGTGTGTGTGTGTGTGTGTGTGTGTGTGTGTGTGTGTGTGTGTGTGTGTGTGTGTGTACTCACCAAGTTGTACTCACCTAGTTGTTCTTGCGGGGGTTGAGCTCTGGCTCTTTGGTCCCGCCTCTCAACCGTCAATCAACAGGTGTACAGATTCCTGAGGCTATTGGGCTCTATCATATCTACACTTGAAACTGTGTATGGAGTCAGCCTCCACCACATCACTTCCTAATGCATTCCATTTGTCAACCACTCTGACACTAAAAAAGTTCTTTCTAATATCTCTGTGGCTCATTTGGGCACTCAGTTTCCACCTGTGTCCCCTTGTGCGTGTTCCCCTTGTGTTAAATAGACTGTCTTTATCTACCCTATCAATTCCCTTGAGAATCTTGAATGTGGTGATCATGTCCCCCCTAACTCTTCTGTCTTCCAGCGAAGTGAGGTTTAATTCCCGTAGTCTCTCCTCGTAGCTCATACCTCTCAGCTCGGGTACTAGTCTGGTGGCAAACCTTTAAACCTTTTCCAGTTTAGTCTTATCCTTGACTAGATATGGACTCCATGCTGGGGCTGCATACTCCAGGATTGGCCTGACATATGTGGTATACAAAGTTCTAAATGATTCTTTACACAAGTTTCTGAATGCCGTTCGTATGTTGGCCAGCCTGGCATATGCCGCTGATGTTATCCGCTTGATATGTGCTGCAGGGGACAGGTCTGGCGTGATATCAACCCCCAAGTCTTTTTCCTTCTCTGACTTCTGAAGAATTTCCTCTCCCAGATGATACCTTATATCTGGCCTCCTGCTCCCTACACCTATCTTCATTACATTACATTTGGTTGGGTTAAACTCTAGCAACCATTTGTTCGACCATTCCTTCAGCTTGTCTAGGTCTTCTTGAAGCCTCAAACAGTCCTCTTCTGTTATAATCCTTCTCATAATTTTAGCATCGTCTGCAAACATTGAGAGAAATGAATCGATACCCTCCGGGAGATCATTTACATATATCAGAAACAAGATAGGACCGAGTACAGAGCCCTGTGGGACTCCACTGGTGACTTCACGCCAATCGGAGGTCTCACCCCTCACCGTAACTCTCTGCTTCCTATTGCTTAGATACTCCCTTATCCACTGGAGCACCTTACCAGCTACACCTGCCTGTCTATCCAGCTTATGTACCAGCCTCTTATGTGGTACTGTGTCAAAGGCTTTCCGACAATCCAAGAAAATGCAGTCCGCCCAGCCCTCTCTTTCTTGCTTAATCTTTGTCACCTGAGCGTAGAATTCTATCAAGCCTGTAAGGCAAGATTTACCCTCCCTGAACCCATGTTGGCGATTTGTCACGAAGTCCCTCCTCTCCAGATGTGTTACCAGTTTTTTTCTCACGATCTTCTCCATCACCTTGCATGGTATACAAGTCAAGGACACTGGCCTGTAGTTCAGTGCCTCTTGCCTGTCGCCCTTTTTGTATATAGGGACCACATTCGCCGTCTTCCATATTTCTGGTAGGTCTCCCGTCTCCAGTGACTTACTATACACTATGGAGAGTGGCAAGCAAAGTGCATCTGCACACTCTTTCAGTATCCATGGTGAGATCCCATCTGGACCAACAGCCTTTCTCACATCCAGATCCAGCAGGTGTCTCTTGACCTCCTCTCTCGTAATTTCGAACTCTTCCAAGGCCGCCTGGTTTACCTCTCTTTCTCCTAGCACAGTGACCTCACCTTGTTCTATTGTGAAGACCTCCTGGAACCTCTTGTTGAGTTCTTCACACACCTCTCTGTCATTTTCTGTATACCTGTCCTCGCCTGTTCGAAGTTTCAATACCTGTTCTTTCACTGTTGTTTTCCTTCTGATGTGACTGTGGAGTAGCTTTGGTTCGGTCTTGGCTTTGTTTGCTATATCATTTTCAAAACTTTTCTCTGCTTCTCTTCTCACCCTGACGTACTCATTCCTGGTTCTCTTGTATCTCTCTCTCTGCTTTCTGGTGTTCTGTTATTCCGGAAGTTCCTCCACGCCCTTTTGTTCAGTTTCTTCGCTTCCATACATGCCCTATTATACCATGGATTCTTCTGTTGCTTCTCGGATTTTTCCCTTTGGGCCGGGATGAACCTGTTTACTGCCTCCTGACACTTTTGGGTAACATAGTCCATCATACCCTGTACAGACTTGTCTCTGAGGTCTGTGTCCCAAGGTATTTCACTTAGGAAACTTCTCATCTGCTCATAATTCCCCTTTCGGTATGCCAGCCTTTTGATTCCTAGTTCTTTTTTGGGGGAGATAAGTCCTAGCTCTACCAGGTATTCAATACACTGTGGTCTTCATTCCCAAGGGCGCTTCCATCTTGACTTCCCTTATATCCCACTCATTTAGGGTAAATATCAAATCAAGCATTGCTGGTTCATCTTCTCCTCTCATTCTTGTTGGTTCTTTGATGTGCTGGCTTAGAAAGTTTCTTGTTGCCACGTCCAGCAGCTTAGCTCTCCATGTTTCTGGTCCTCCATGCGGGTCTCTGTTCTTCCAATCTATCTTCCCATGGTTGAAGTCTCCCATAATTAGTAGTCCAGATCCATTCCTGCTAGCAACAGAAGCTGCTCTTTCTATTATGTTAATGGTGGCTATGTTGTTTCTATCATATTCCTGTCTAGGTCTTCTGTCATTTGGTGGTGGATTATATATGACTACGACTATAATTTTTTTCCCTCCATTTGTTACGGTACCTGCTAAGTAGTCACTGAAACCTTCACAGCCCTGAATATCCATCTCCTCAAAATCCCAGCCTTTTCTTACCAGCAGAGCTACACCACCCCCACCTCTTCCTTCCCTCTCTTTCCTCATAACATAGTAGTCCTGTGGGAACACTGCATTTGTTATCGTTTTCGTGAGCTTTGTTTCTGTGAGGGCTATTATGTCTGGGTTTTCCTCTATTACCCGTTCCCCAAGCTCATTTGCTTTATTTGTAATTCCATCTATGTTAGTGTACATCGCTTTGAGGCTCACTTTCCTCTGTCCCTTCTCAAATCGCCTCCTTGGTGAGTGTTCTGCTGGTGGGGGAGGCTGTTCCATGGGTGTGAGGACCTGTGAGGTGGATAACAGGGTCTCAGAGGATACAGGGATGAGGGGTGGGGGATCCAGTGAAAGGGGAGGGACAGGGAGGGTATGAGGTGAAAAGGGAGGGAGGACGGGAAGGAAAGGGGGGGGAGGGAGGACTCGGGAGGAGGGGCGGGGGATCCAGTGAAGGGGGAGGGACAGGGAGGGTATGGGGTGAAAGAGGAGGGAGGACGGGAAGGAAAGGGGGGGAAGGGAGGACTCGGGAGGAGGGGAGGGATAGAAGGGTGGGGGGAGGGAGATTTTGCTGAACATTTGAGTGGGGGCAGGGAGGGTTTGGGATAGGGGGGTTTTCTATGCAGAGGGTGGCGGGGTTGTCCTCCCTTCTGGTGTTACTGGGTAGCTGGTTGTGGGTTCCCCCTCACCTCTGGGGGTGTTGTGTTGGGAGCTGTGACTTCCTGGTTTTGCCCTCTCACCCTGGGCCTCTTCCTGGCTTCTGCCACCATGGCTCTCTCCTCCCTTGTCATGTCTCTCTGGAGGAATACATTTTTTAATTTTCCGATGTTTTTCAGGGAGCTCTTCCTTGATTGGATCTTCTCCTTTGTGCTCTCGTTTGCAAACACTATCTTTATCATTCGGTCTCGGTCTTTGTTGTACCAACCTAGCCTGAAAACCTTCTCAATGCTATGCTCAGCCCCTTCCATGTCTAGTGCCTTCAGTACTTCATTCACTGCTGCTTTGTCCTTGTCATTCCACTCTGTCCTATTAGAGCCTTCCTGCTCTTTAAAACCCACAGCAACCACTGATCTGTTCCTTTCCAGCAGTTGGCTAGTGAAGCGTGCCGCCTCCTGTGAGGTGGCTGCTTTCATGGCCACCTCCATCACTGCAGTCATTACTTCAGAGTTATTTTTTTTAGTATTTCCGCAAATGTTGCTTTTATTGTGGCATTCTCATCCAAAAAACTATTACCACCTTCTCCCTGGATGGTTTTCTGATTCTCAGCCTCGCTACCATTCTCTTTGAGGGCTCTAAACTCCTCCTTTGCTGCTGTCAGCTCTCTTTTCAGGTTGCTTATTTCGTTCTTCATTTCCTGCATCATTTCTTGCATCTCACTCTTGATGTCCTCCAGAAACTGGGCGAACATTTCCTTCATTTCGTCACTTTGGCTCTTCCCTGTTCCCCTGGTACCATGCTTGCCCCTGTTCCTATAGGTG